TCATGACGATAAAAATCATCTAGTTATGATCTAGAAAAAATGCTCAGGTAAGCAAAAAAAAATAGGAACCTTTTCTCAATCTATGAACAACTCATGGACTTGTTTCATCATATTCTTTTGTTAAGATCCACAAATTATTCATTAATATTGGTGATACTAGTCTCGTCGTGTCGATAAAGGAAAGGTAGTTTTGTTTTTCTGATACTTTCGGAATAATATTACCTAGACATACTGGTAATTCTTTTTTTATTTCGTTCACTAAAAGTAGACGTTACCACTCGGTCGAAGCAAATAAACACATGTTTGTTGTAGATCAAATCATAGAAATTTACCATCGGAGAAAATAATATTCTGGCTCAGACTTGATTGAATGTATCGGCATATTTTAAATTCTTATGCTTATGACAGAAAAAAATATGCGAAGGTAAAGAAGTGATATTTAGACCTTTAGTACGACCGAGATATACAGATTGAAAAATGCTCCACTACGTAACGATCTTTTTTTGACAATATCATAGATTTTTTTCTTGAATGAATTATGGTCTGCTTGCAGAAGAACACTATTAGCATCCGAATCTATTTGGCCGTTATCGACCAGTACTTTGTTAAATACTTCTTTAATCATGTGTGCACTAGTATAGTCTTCCATGGGAATAAACGAATGAACACGTTCACAAAGAAGCTTCATCAAATATGAGTACAAGACTAGTATGTAAGAAAATCTTCAACAAGCAAAATGGAACTTCGTTCGAGTTTTATAAGGAAGTCGTCACATATTCGATTGAATATATATCAATAATTCACAAGTTGTGTAATTATACTTCTTTGGACAGGATGTACAAGTTTTCATACTAAAAGATAAAGATACAGGTTCTTATAATAAAAATTTTAACCCACTTTTTTTTTTTCATCTTATATATGAACCCTTTTCTTTTGTTGAAATACCTGTAATATTGGGAAACGTTCCTGATCCAACAATTAATTCAACAATATTACGAGGAGCAATATCACCAACAAAATCAATTTTCTCGTAATGTATTCATTAAAAATGAAAAGAGACCTATGATCCAATATCAATTATCATTGTCGTTTTAGAATCCATGGGTATGTGATCGAATTAGATTTTGTCCTTCCATTTTGATTCTTTATGTAGGATATGAAACAATCAGAGACGAAGAAGAGACAGGAACAAAGTATAACGAACAATCTAAAAAGAACTTGCAGGAAGAGGAGATCAAACAAATGCAGATGTTCGGATGTTTACTACGAATTTTTAAGAAATTCTGAAATCAAGTGAATTTTTGACAGTATTTTTTAAAAAAAGAATTTTATGGTGTCTTATTTGTAAATGAATGTAATATGGAAATCATGAGATGTATGCTTACTTTCCTCTCTGACATGTACTCACTAAGGTGAATTCGACATTCGGATTCTGTTCTATAGTTTCAAAAGAACTGTCGGCTCAAATAAAATCTGAAATAATCCGAATAATGAACTTTTACTGAACTTTGACTGTCCGAAACTGTAGAAATTTAGCAAACAGGATTCTCTCAAATTTCGATAGAAGTAGATTGAATGATCAGGGTACGATACTATCCAACTGATATGTGCTTGGTCTATATACGTAGTTCATTTCTTCCTATACAATTAGTTCACGGACTGTTGATCAATATATCAAAACTAGTATAACTCAACAACTAAGTTTTTCTCGCAAAAACAGTACTCAAAATCCAGATACTGGATGTGCAACAGCAATTGTCATAGATTTCAAAGCATTTTACGACGAGAAGGGCTTGAAACAGCATGCCAAACGAACCCACTGATGGAGTTACAAAGATTGACACATACAATCGCAATTTAGGAGCTGAAAAAAGGGAATTTTATTTGATTATCTGAAATTCTTTGGATTTTGAAACATTGTAGGAATTCAAGGAACTTCGAAATGAGGAGACTTGAACCATGTCACACACAATCCTACTGACAAGGTTACAAACACTAACACATACAATCACGATATGGATGTTCCAAACAGTTAATTCCACTTGATTTTCTTGACTTCGTTGAATTGCCAATTTTTGGACGATGTGCATATCTCCTAAAAGCAGAACTATTTGTATAAATGCATGCTGTCTCGCGACAATATTGCACTAATTAAACAGATCTTGTTTGAAACTTATCATTTTTTTTTGTATGCATGGTACACTGCGGATACAATAACTGTAATAGTCAATGACTTTTGTTTTGGCATTGTTTTCTGAATAAAATGTTGCTCTGCCAGACTAGTATAGCAACTAGTGCACAAATTTTCGTTATCGCAATATGTGTTTGATTAGAGTTGATCATCTATCTCTTAGTAAATTTTAATAAGCAACTTTTGCCATTGATTTTTTGCACACGATACCATGTGCGTCTTTATTCTTTTAACATTGTTCTGAGATTACGTCAACATTTTGCCTTCAATCTTTGGATTTCGTCTTGCCAGATTTCATCATTCATGTATTGATATTCTTGAAAAATTCCGAGATGATCGCTATTCGAATATTTGTTTCCACAATGCTGACGTAATATGTGCTAAAATGTTCTGCATTTCTTACGCTGAGACATGAATATGATATGTGTAAAGACAAAAGAGACATGTCTTCTCATTTGGGAACATAAAATCGAAATTCAAAATCTGTTAAATTCAATTTCAATTGTTTTTTAAATTAAATTTATTCAAATTGAAAATAATCTTAGGTCTCAAATTTTCTGTTTTCAAATTTCAAAAAACATTACTGACAACAATTTTAATGCGACTTAAACTCTCAGTTATATTTTTAAACTTGCTGAAATTTATAGAGTTCGCTAAAGATTGAGTTTCATTATTTCAATTTAACTAAATGTAATTTGTAGAGAGCGCTAAACTTCAATAGTAACTCTTTTCACTTTTTCTTTTGTGCGCTAATTTTCGACTGCTTTTTTTCAATAAATAAATTCTTCAATTTATAAATTCCGTGCTTTTATACGACAAAAATATGAGAAAAAATGAAAGTAAACAGCAACTTTCAACTAGGAGAAGCTCAATATTAACTTGCATGCATGAAGGAAACTTCGAAACATCTGATGACGAAGAAATAAATGAAGATGAATGGATAAAACCAAAACAACATAAAAACAAAGAATTTACATCCCTAAAATTGTTGAAGCATGCTAATAGTGATGAAAATCAACCAACTAGAACTCGACTATTTAAGAAAAACATCGAACACCTTTTCAAACAAATACCATATAACAATTACATAAATTCAAATATTAATATGAATTCAGGCAAAAAACTATCACTAGAAATTAATGTGTTTACAAAGCAGATAAATCCTCAAATTGTAAATGCAAATTTTTCTTTAGGTAAACAGGAAATTCAAAACTACAATCATTTTATAATACAATTTCAATTCAAATCAACTTTGACTCAAGTAGAAATAATTCCAAAGATTACATATGAATGGGAAAAACTTAATAATGAAACACAAAAATCAAAATAACAGGTCACCCAGATCATGATGGGTTTCTTGTATTTGCAATGGATCAGCCATCATTCAATAATCAAATGATAGGGCAATGGCCACAAACAATGGATAATATTCGAATCAATGTAAAAACAACCTCGAATATTACCATCTGAACATTCACTTATAATACATCGCGTCTTCAAGGAATGGGATATCACTGAAATAAACAATAAATTAAAAGGAAAATATCCATATTTTAGAAAAGCAACAAGAATTATTGACAAAAATGGAATTTCAACGCAAATGATTAGAGCAGATTTTAGAACGTCAAAATCAGTTCAACAATTGCTAAACGAAGAATATGTATCAATAGGTTAAAGTATACATCAAGTTAGATTATATTTTGCTCCTGTTCGAGTACCAATTTCTTATAAATGCCACCATCACGGTCATCAGACATCTTAATTCACTAACATTCGCATATGTTTTAGATGCAGCACCGTGCATGATTTAGAAAAATCATGTACACGTCCAATGCAATGTGCAAATTGTCTACAAGCACATTATTCAGAGTATTCCTCATGTTCTCAAGTTCACCAAATACGTCAACAATTGAAAGAACAATAGAATATAAATCGAAACAAAATACAAATTCACTAAGCATTCGAAATGAAATCCGAAAATTTTCCACCTTTACCTTCTTCGCACAGGCCAGCGATAAACTCATCATCAAAAAATATAGGTAACAATCTTCATCTGAATTCACAAGCAAGCAATTATCATATAAAACAACCCTCAACTTTAACCAAAAAATACCTCGAAAAATATAAATGAAAGTATTGAACAGATACTACTAGCACACATTCAATAAATAGAAAATGTTCTTGATAAAAATTCAATACAATTCTTAAACAGATAACAAAAATAGATCAAAATTGTAAAAAATCAAATGATAATAATATAAGAGTCATTAATGGAATTCAACACAAACTTATTCCTGCTGTTGTGACATGAACTAGTATTTTAAATGCAAATATTTCATACTTGACGATGAAAAATATTTTAAGTACTCGTACTCATACACTTAATGAAGAAAGTGATAATATTCTAACTGAAGATGTAATTCAGTCAACCACAAACACTTCTATAAAGTCTAAACCATGAAATTAAATCCATATGCAACATGTTTTAGTACATTGAATCATGAAAATATTACCATAAATAAAATACCACAAAAATATAATCCTTCAGACGTTTATCAATTTAATTTTTACAGATATGAACAGTTGATTCGAAAATACGGTCTCTTTACCACTGATATTACTGAATATCAAATTAAACTTGATCAAAACATTATTGCAGAATGGTATTGAAATATAACACGACAGCAAAAGTTTGATGAATGGATGTACTCATCTATTACCTACCATCAATAAATTGAAAAGCACATCGCTTACTGCCATTCATTATAACATTAGATATTTTTTACTAAATCAATTAGAACTTCTTCCAATGATCAAAGAATATCAACCTATGATAATATCATTAAATGAATTAGGATCACATACAAATATGAAAAGCATTGAGCAAGTATTGTTAGGTTATGAAATTATTAAAGTAGAAGGTACAAATAAACATGGAGGTGCTATTTTAGCAATAGATAAACGCATCCTACATGTACGACCAATAAACCTGCATAAATCTAATATTGCTACTGAAACTATTAGTCTCAACGATTCTACGTATACGATTACTTCCATCTATTCACCATCAAATACACCTTTACCGTTAGAAACTATGTCATTGTTACTTATATATTCAAATTACACTATTCTTCTAAGTGATTTTAATGCGAAACATATAGACAGGGGATGCTCAACAATCAATTCAAAAGGTGATCAATTATCAAAATGGATTAATGATAACAATCTAACTGTTCAATAATACAAATATAAGAACTTCACTTCGTTCATCTGCTATCGTTGATTTAGTTATTACAAATCAGCAACATGGCTCACTTGATTGTAAATTACTACCATATACTTGTAGTGATCATTTTCTTATCTTTATTGAATTCTCAAACATTTTATTTTCGTGCAAATATGAACAATTTATACCAAAAACGTATTGAAATGTATTTAGAGAGGTCTTGAGTGCCATACATGAACACATAGATGAACTTCATAATAATATTCAAGATGAATTTAGTATTTTCCTTCAATTTCAAAACCTTTTATAAGCATTAAAATCTAGAGTAATGATGTGGACTGTTAAAAAACAAATAAGATCAACATTATCACCTTCTATTCGAATACTTTTAAAATATAAACATTATTTACAAAATCGTTATCGTAAAACAAAACTAGAAAATGACCATCTCGGTTTCCGTTTATGGTCGAAAATTACAAAAACAAGAAATACTCCATCATAAAGCGAAACAGTGGAATTTATTTTTATCGAAATTGGCATAACCTAATTCAACAACTTTTTGGAACAATGTCAAATTACTAAACAAGAAGTCAAAGATAGATTTTTCCGGTATTACTGATGATGATAATATGAATATTCATAAAACACCTAAATCTATTTTATCATATCTCCAACAACATTTTGAAAATCGATTTGCAAGTTCTGATTTAAATCTATTAAATAAAATAGACCAAGAAGCAACTATTTTGTGGGAATAATCAACTAATGCAAAAAATGATAATTCAACTAAAGCATACATAAAACAATCTGATGTAACATTCAATATTCAAGATCTTCATACTATCATTAAATCATTAGCGAACAAAAAAAACATCCAGTTTTGATCGAATATCAAATCAAATAGTCAAACTAATTCCAAATGAATATTACCCAATGATAATAAATAATTATAACAAATTATTTGCATCAGCTAGATGGGAACAACAGTGAAAATGTTCAAGATTATTATGTTTTAATAAAGTGAATAGTCTAATGCCAAAAACATCACAATTAAGACCTATAAATTTATTGCCGGTATTTAGTAAAATCTATGAAAAATTATTTTTACTTAGATTCAATGAATGGCTGTATAAAATAAATATTCTTCCACCTCAACAATCAGATTCACGAAAATATCAATCAACACCCACAATAGTTCAACATGTTTTACAGCAACTTACTCAATCAACGACCTACAATACCATTTCGATTGTAGCATATATATATTTTCTTCAAGCTTATGACAAATTATAGCAACAACGTTTATTACTAAAACTGTTTTATCTCGAATGTCCACCAGCCTACATGCAATGGATTACTAATTACTTTTTAGACCGTTCTTGTATAGTTGATATAGACGAACATTTATCTCAAACTATTAATATTAAATCTGGAGTACCTCAGGACAGTTGTTTCGCAACCACAGCTTTTATTGTTTAATCATTACGATCTTCCGGATATTTTTGACCAACCTGAACACTGCCATCTTTTCGTCGATGGCTTAGCAGTAGTATATATACCTTCAATGTTTATGTCGCTTCAACAACAACTCTTTAGCTTAGAAAGAAACATTAACCCTTTAACTGACGCCGACGTATATATACGTCATGAACTTTATTAGTGTACAAAACTAGCACAATCAATCGTAATACATATTTTTTTATATTCGTCCGCATAGAGATAAGCATCAAATAGCTGAAGCTTGTGATACCATCGTTTCATAATGGCATGCTCTAGAATTATGTCTTAGAAAAAAGAGTGTGCATAGAGAACAGTCAGTGCGGTGTACATNAATCCCTGTACCCTCCCTCAGGGATGGTCTGGTTAAAAATCACAATTTTTTCGATAACTCAGCCATTTCTTGGCAGATCCTTTTCATCTTCGAACTCGACCGAGATATTGTCAAGACTAAACTGTGTAGAAAATTTCATCGCAATCTGACTCTCCTTTCGAAAGTTATCGTGTAAACGGCCGGCCGGCCGGACGGACGCACAGACCGATTTTAGTAGTGTACTCACTTTTTGAGTACACTAAAAACATCTTTTTATTCAAATTTTAAATGTTTTCGATTTAATCGATTTCTAGTGCGTCTCGAATGAGGTTCAGACAATACTAGAATTTTTATTTTCACTGAAACATATATATATATATATAGTTGGGTGTGGATGTGGGTGTGGGGTGTGGGTGTGGGGTGTGGGTATGGGCGAGAGGATGGCAGTGGATCAGTCTTCTATTCACACCCACTCAGACCCACACACACACCCTGATGGAGATCTTCATAGGTCAGCATCATGTCGGCATAAGCCATACCAATCTCCAGATACTGTAGTAAAAGGAGCTTCCTTTGAATGGCGAGACATTTGCCACAGAATTCTAGATATTTTGTATAATTTCCGAGCTGTTTGAAAAGAATCCCAGTGTTGGAATAGGTGGCCGCCAGATCAAAATGCGTTGAAAAAATGCATTTGAGACGAATATCTAAAGCGCATACGTACCTGTGTATTGCTTGTTTGTGAAGACTTTGATGATAAACAGTGAGGATGATATTGTTGAAACTAGTAGTGATGTCCACCAGGTTATGTATGCGTTGACAGTTTTCGATTATCAATACATGTAGATAGTATTTTAGCGTGTCATCGAATTTTCTATACTATCGCAAATACCTGTTTCGTTGTTGTAAGTTGATGATCGTCCAGTGATAAATATGAGAAGCGGATATCTACCAATCGGCTGTAGTGATACACAGAGCCTCCAATGTCATTTTTTTTACCGTAAAATAAGTCCAGTATATAATGAAGAGAACTAAGGCGTATTATATCTGCTTCATCTGTTCCTGCCAGCAGCATCTCAAAGATGCCTTTCATCTGACGATGAGGTAGGATGGGTGATGATGAAGAGAAAACTCTTTCTCACCTTCATCCTCAATCACTGCATTATTCTATATCTCTTTCATCTAAAAGACAATCATAGACTTGAAATCTATACCATCACAAATTTCCTCACTCTGTTTAAGAAAAGAACTACCTCTTGTTCAAAAATAATCTTTTTCTGATTTCCTGCAGCATATATCTTGATCATTATATTTAAAAATAGATTCTATATAATCAACAGTAACACTTCATTATTTAATGCGCTGATATAAACAAACAATTGCAATCTCATCTAAATTCTCAAATGATCCGCCACAAATACAAATATTTATACAGATATTTGAAAAAAAACTTGTAGAGTCTTAAACAACAGATAAATGTCAGCTCAACTATTAGTTTTTAGCTCTTCTTGCGGCATGATAAACGATTGGTGCTCATAGATCAAGTTGTTTTGGCAAACACGTTTTCGTTATTTTCCATCGTGTCGAAGAACGATAGAAATGTCCATTAGTAACTAAAGAAAAGAAGATTTTCTGAATTTATTCAAAAACAAAGTTTGTCATCGACGACCAATAACGCTGAGTGTCAACTATCGTGATTCATATGCACCTCCCAGAATCTTGGAAGGCTTGCTCTTTTGCTTTTGCTAAATTTCGTAGAATGAGTTATGTAAGTCACTACATCTCTGACGAGTAGTATCTGTTGAATGCCATTGACTATCTTATGGCATTCAGAAATAAAAATGCCGAGGGACTCGAGCCCATTATTTTTGAAATAATTTATTAGTTTAGAATAATATGGATTTTCAAAAAATTGGCGAAGACAGTTTTAAGCGTACATTTTGATCCGTTCGAAAAAGGGAGACGGGCCCAGGAAAACATAACAATAGGTTGCTTTGTCCTCATCGACTTTCTTTCTAAATACAACAAGTGCCTTGGCGGTGATCGGTTTCTGTTCGGGGTCGTTCTTGACAAAAGCGGTGCCTTCGAGGTGAGGGCAGACTCGTTCTGGCAAAACTTCGACATGCTTGACCATGTTTTTCATGCTTGACATGTGAGCACAAACTCCTTCGAAGTAAGCCATAATTGTTTTGTGTCCTTTCATCGTCGGTAGATTACCGTAATGTATGATGGCATCAGGATAATAAAATATTGTGATCAAACCTGGCATATCTAAGGACTCACAAGCTTCGAAATAGGCTCGAACCCAAGCGACCGTTTTCTTGACTTGTTCAGACGTTATCGTAGTGGATATCGACAAGGAGTAAAGCAAAGTGTGTCAATATCGTTATGTTGTCACAACAACAAAAAAATGAATCAATAACAGATAGGTAAGATTGCACTGCATGTGTGTTTTATATTCTTATGCAACCGTAGATTTTCGTCTGTTTATTCGACTGTGCAATGAAAAAATAACTAAAGAATACTGTATTAGAACCCAAAAGTGATCGAAAAAAATCGGTTGCATATGTGCACAAACCTGTAAGAAACGACAAACAATGGTAACAACACGTTTGACTGTTTGAATAAGATTCCTAAGCATATTTTTCATAGTTGTTATGTTCTTCTTTACACTTCGAGTTCGTTTAAGAAGAGCATAATCTTTTATGTTTATTTCAAATCAACAATCGTAACATCACAATCATATACATATACATCATCAAAAGAGAGAATTAGAAAAGAAGCACGACAGAAATATAAAGAGAAGATGAACATAACAGTAATGTACAGATGTCGGATCATAACATCCTTCCAGAACCAGAAAAAAAACGTTTTTTGTTTACAAAGCATATTTTTTTTATAAAGGTACAAATGAGAGAAAGAAGAGGAAGAGAAAAAATCATGTTTCTATGAGAGAGGAAAAAAATCATCTGACATAAACATAAATGCACCAAATGAGAAAAAAGAAAACGATAGCAAAAAGAAAGAAAAATAACATAAAAGCCCATCCGGATAAGCCAGGATCGATTTCCAGAGCAGCTGCTCAATCGATGGTCGCCGATTTGACTGATACTTTTATGTTTGATAGAGGAAAGTGTTTGATGATTTTCTGCGCAAGCCGTTTCAAAAAATTTTGTTCCGTTCTTGAGATATTACATTTTTTCTG